AGACTCTGCACTTTGTCAGCGTCTTCACCGAATAGAACTATGTCATCGGCATATTCTAAGTCGATAAGCGAGCCTCTTGGTAATAAGTCTACCCTTGGAAATTCAGACGAGGATAAGGTTATTTCTAAGAGCATGAGACCAGACTACTGAAACTAAGGTTTAAATGAATGATCTCTAGAATGGTGAGGTTTCTTTCTTCAAGAATTCAAAAACAATGATTGAAACAATGTTTCGAGAGTGTAAAAACTATGGTAACAGACAATTTTGTTTCAGTGTTGATACGTTGAATGATACAATTACTTCAACAGATTAATTACGAAATCGTAGTTCAACTCCAGTCATCAAACTATACACTTCTCTACAAACACAGAAAAAAGACATTTCGATAAGAAGTAACTATCAAATGTTCCAGTCGAACCGGATAAATCATTAAACGAATCAAGAAAAATTGTTATACCTGATATAATTTACCACCGACTGTAGTTGTATCCTCTGCACTAACGCATAAATCGTATTCTATTAAGCGAAGATCTGCTGTCAGGATAAACAATGCGTCTACAGCACGAGATTTTCCGACTAAAAAGAAATAAAATTATTGCACACAATGATGTTTGTTAAGAAATATATATAAGCTTACAAAAAAAACAGTTCTACGAACTTGAGTTAATAAGTTCTTAAAAGTGAGTTTACAATTATTTTAAGTGTTTTTCTTAATGACAAAATTTTTGAGGAATTAACAGATTAACGGTAGGGATCTTATGGGATTATTTATAGTAAAGCTACGAAATACATTCCTGCAAACAGAAGTATGGTGTTTAACTTAAGTGTTAATGCTTACAAGGAATTCTACGAAAACCGACTACAAAAGGGTAAAAGCCTTTATAAACGATAGCTAATATTTCAAGAAAGCAAATTAAAACGAAATACAGTTCGTCAAAATCTAAGATTGATCAGTAGTTAAACGTAAATATCCGATAAACTAGCTTTCACACTGTTAACCATTACTTACAAATAAACTATTTTAAGGAATTTTTCAAACAGGGATTAATGATGGCTGGCAGTAGAATCCAGGACGCGCATTTTATCGCATTCGGTAATCGTCAGCTGGATGTACTCGCATCGCAAAGCTGTATCCTCCACAATTACAAATAAAAATCTATCGATCATCTTCGTATTAGAACTATCAGAGTTAAGCAAACAATGAAACTTATGAATTGTAACCTCGTACTTTGTATAAATAATTACATAAGTTGAAAATCTTGGTAATGAAAGATAATTGTGATCAACTATCTAGCTATCTAATGTCCTTATAAGAGGTTTGGTAACGTAAGGATTTAGGTGGCATATCGAAAGATTTATTAATAACAGTGCACTAAATACTACAATAAAAATAAACGCCAGAGTCAGATCAACTTTATGCTATATGAAATTATGTATTCCTGTTTAAGAGTATATGCTAAAGCAAATAAATCAACCATATAGAAATAAAGGTCATGTATGATTCTTCAAAAAGGAAATGTAGTGGAACCTTGCTGTTAAAGATGCAGTTGCAAAGTATTCTATAGAATGAAGACACCAAAAACAAATCTCTTTCAACTTGTCAAAATAAATAGTTAAGTTTCCTGATTTACACCATACATCGTTTTTAAATTGCACGCAAATTATCTCCCTGGTGATTTCATTCTATAGAACATCTTTTTTAATAAACCGATTATGTTTCTCATTTCTGCTGAGTGACTCTAATATGATGAGGCTTAATTGTCAACTGAAGCCAAATGAAAAAAATGTTTGTTTAAATTTAGCTACTTACATACCTTTCCAGTAGTAAAGCTTGAAATCTTGAAAGAATCGACCGAGAAACGGATCATCAAACCAAGTTGTGAATTCGATACCCTTAAAACTAATTTAACATTTCCACAAATACTAACTTATCAGAGTGAAATTACACTGCACTACTCCCAACGCTTGTACTATGCAGACGCGTTACATATTTAAACACGACCCTCCATCTGTTCGCAGTAGTTATAACATTTATAACCATAATGTGGTTAGTCTAAATAAAATATGAATCTCGGTTATTTCTCTACTTAAGTAGTAATCTGAAGTGGTTTAAAATATAGAGGATATTTTATTCTTATTTGAGTAATTAACAACCATGCTTTCAATTTCGAAAATCAGTAAAATGAATTCACTGAAAATTCAGCGGTAATCCATTACATCTAATACTAAATCATTAGTGGAACAGTAATTCAACTACAAATATTAGATTAGGATTCTGTCATATTTTAAGCTGACACAGACAACTGAGAATCGGTCAAAATATATTATACTCGCTATGAATTCAACAGCTGCGATATTTTTTATTGCTATAGTCGTGAGCTGTTGAGCAGTGTGTCAGGCAAAATATAAACACTTATGGCCGAAAAAATACAACAGCATTTGTTAACAATCATGTGGTGTTCGAAGAATTAAATTAACAGCTTATTTTCAAATGACTAGTACATGAGATCCGAAAGGCATTCTGTAGTCAAAGCTTATCTACTTTAGTACTTTTTAGTATGTGTGTAAATAAGTTGAGCCCATATGGCTTGTCCCAGATTCTGGGTAAACTAATTAAACTTTTCTACCCGAGTCACTTCACTAGTTTTTGATCTTGTCAGTTATTCGCCCATTTCTTGGTTGTTTTTGTTTGAGTGTGTGAATCCTTCCATCACTTATTACATGTCTGACTATAAATACTTCGTCATGTTCCAGCTCCATCACATTGAGTTGACTAACTCTACTTTTCCGCTTCGCTTTCTTTTGCTTGCACGGTTCGTGTTTTCTGTTTGTCTGCCTAAATTTGACTGATTACCGCCTAAGTATGATATACGGAAATGGAAAGGAAGATTCATTTCATAGCATATTCGACTGCTCATCCAAAATGGGGTCAGATCGCAGGCCACTAAAGTGATGAGCCCACATCAAATTCAACGCAGCCACTAGACGTTTAAGTATTCTTCTAAATGGTAATTGCTATTATGATGTAGAATGTAAAAAACTGTAATTGATATTTATAATTATCAACTACAGAAATACATCCAAGGAATGATATAGCAAACAATCTTCTCCTTTAATATAATTCTACGCGTTTTTATTTAGAGGAAATCAATAGCGTATTGAATATCTGCTCAAACGTTTCCAGTTAATAAGATATTACAAAAGGTATGTTTTTACTCATTATATATACTTACACTTATTGGGAAATAAGAAAAAAAAATATAATCAGTATAAAAGAACACAATATATAGTGGAAGTGACCAATTTACTCAGACAAGTTCGATGAGCATTTTAAAGTATAAAATGTTATTGTATCTTACCATATGGATCGCTACGAAACTCAGCAGATAGATTATTTAGACGAGGTTGATTAGGAAGGAAACACACCGGAGGTCCAAAACGTGCCGCTCTAACACTATTACTTGTTGGACTGGATATTTCTTGATCTAAATTTTGAAGTGATTGTCCATTTCTCTGACGTCGATTATGCTTACGTGAATAGAAAGAAGAACGAGATGCTGTACCACTACTACTACTACTAACTGGTAATTGTGTATATGTGCATAATTCAGGGCAGTAAACATTATTAGGCTCAGAATAACATGATTTCACAGATGATGTATGACGATTGACTAATCCTGTGTTTACATTTTTCACAGGTGTTACCGCTTCAAAAGCACTACTTGCAGCGCTTCGAGCAATAGAAGTCACACTGTTCCCAATGGATGGCTTCAATCTTGCTTCAGCTTTAACTCTACAAGGTTCTGGATAGGGAGGTAATCGAGAATTAGTAGTGTTATATAGGGCGTTTGGTGGACAAGCACATAATCCTTCACTATTTAAAAACAGCATAGCTTGTTGGTCAGAAACAAAATTTCGTGAACCAGAAACATGATGACCACTGGATTCTTCTAAAGAAAATGGACCGGGATTTTCTTCATCTAGACAACGAAAAAAGAAATTAAATTTATGTACATTTAAGAGGCATATAGCATCGAGAATGGTATTAAAGAGAAATAATTACTGAATATGCACAAAATCCAGTCTAGAATAATAAATGATATTAAACAATATGCATTTATTGTTAATAAAAATAATGAGTAAAACTCCATAAAATACAAAGAAACAAAAAAATGATGATGTTGATATCATTCAAGTAGAAGTGTGAGTAAATTGTATCGATAATCAAAGAAAAATACAATACGATAATAGACATAAGAAGTTGACAAATCTATACGTTGCTTGTCTATATAGGTGGATCACTTATTTTGTTAGTTTTTCAAGTGTTTTTTTTTCAAATCTTAAAAATATAAAACCACTTAGAAATAAAAGAATAAATTAATGATGACTCTTAAACTATCTGAATACAAACTGTGATATAGTTTGGTAGACTTATTGGCGAAGTAACATTATAAATGTATTACTAATAATAGTTTTACAAACTGTATTATTTAAGAAAGAATAATTCCACCTCCACCCACCCGTTTTTAAAATTGAATACGCGCAAAACTTACATACACAATGACACTTAATTGAACTTTGGAATTTGGAATAGCTTCTTAATTTATAAATCATAATGAAAAAGAAGAAGAAATTTTAAGTGTGACCATCTCTGTTTACTGAACACAATTCAACACAACTCAGGTTGATGATTGTGAAAGCAGTCAATTATGAATGGAGTTCTAACTCAATTTTGTTGAGTTTCACACTGAACTTTTGAGTAACATCACAAGGAATCAGATAGAAGCAGACAGTTCAATAAAATCACATTTTAATAATCCTCTTTATTTTGTAGCGATAAAATTTGATGCATTTCATACAGAGATCATTCATATAGAATGGTAAATAATGTATTCTTTGGTAATCTGAATCGTTATGGGTATGAGTTATGCCCACATCGTAGAAGGGTGTTTCTTGAGGAACCTGAAAAGGAAGGTAGATTAGCGTTGGTCTTAGAGACCTGAGAGAGTGATCGCAGAGCCCAAGGTACAACTACTTCAGGCCGGTCAAGCACAACCTTTATATGAGAAGTTTTTCAATTATTAGCTCTGCTCTTGTTTAAAAGACCTTACCACCCGAGACGGAAATCCGTGAGGTAAGTTGACGTGGGACATGGATAGGGTCAACCTTTTCTAACCGCTTCCTTCCTTATGAGAAGGCACCATCACAGCAGATATTGGTTGTCCGAGAGAAACACCTTGCTGATGTCACATCCCTCTACAACTTCGCCCTCAAACTATCAGTTGCTGCTTTTAGTCTCATCGTTCTCCAGTCGGCCTGCCTGGTATGGTAGAACCTACGGGAACATATGTTCCAGCCAATATAGCTCAGTTAGGTCATCACGATAAACAAGCCCGACCACCACGTCAAGGTAGCAGCTACGGTCGGGTGTATTCTGAAAAAATTAATGAGTGTAAGTGAAATTTCCATAGAAATCATTTAGACATTGGATGTAACTATCATCAACTAACTGGTTATTTTTATTTGGCAAGTATTGATTCTCAATGAATACATCATGCTTTTGTTTTAAAGACTGATGATACACAAAATCTAATTCTGAATTGAAAGACAGGATTCAAGAAATTCCTTATTAATCCACCAACTGGATATTTGTGTTGTTTCACTATCTAGAAACATTTATGGATGTATGTGTAAATGTTAAATGTTTACTAATTTCAATGTAGTATATCTCAAAATTGATTCAATATATTTCATCTATCTTCAGTTGGTCATTTATCATGTCGATTTGCATGGCAGAATATAAAGCGATCATAATGATTTATGAACAATACTAATTTTTAAAAGGTTTTGAAATCCTACTGATAATTTTATGTTATTGATGTATATGATAATATAAATGACTACTCTTTTGAATTCTGGAAATTAATTTTTGATAATAAATCGATTTGACAGATACCTGTTTATAAAAGTAGTAATTGTAGTCACTACTCTGAAAAATAAACAGACTTTAACCTGGCTTCCCTAAGAGGCGAATTCAGTTGATCCGATAAAAAAATTTGATAGCACCATCACAAGATTTTATCATTGGGATGTTCAGAAGATTGTGACTGATCCACTGTAAAACTGAATCTAAGAATACTGACTTATCACCACCGAATAGTAGTGTTACGATATTCACCAAATATCCTACAAAGAATTATTTTGTAAGTGTAAATTCTATTCGTCGATTCCTGTTAGTCAATTTTATGGTCCTCCTACATATCTATGTCATGTACTCCAATGTTGTTTCCTATTGGTCGTCTTAACTGTCAATGTCACAAACTTCGATGCTGTTTCCTATTCAACCTAAATGTATAAATACGCATTATCTGTAACGTTTTATGACACGGATCCTCAGACCGGGATCCTTGCGTTCTTTTGGACTCGGACCTCGTGTCACCGGATCCTCGCTCTCGTTTTCCGACTAAGGTAAACTCGTAGTAATGCAAGCATATCAAAATGACATGTTTACGTGCGTGAGTAACAACCAGTTACTAATAAACAGTAGAGACTTTTAGAATTAACAAATCAACTAACTACATTTGTAACGTTAACTAATTGAGCTAATGAATTGGTGATCTAAATTAACTGAGTAAAACACCACATAATTCATTTATTAACCAAAATGTCTATCCTACCAAAGAATAAAAGAAAAAGATGAGTAAATAATTTTAAACACATACAAATTATTTAAAAATTCCAACAAGGTAATTTGAACGGTCTCAAAACTCTGTGGCTAACTATTTTAATTTAAATAACCCTCCTCCATTCTTCGATTTAATATTATCCATCGTCAGAAGAACTACAGGAATGAATTAGTTATAAATACAAACATCCAAAAGCTACTAATCTAATCAAATATTATGTCAAATTTAGCAAAATTAAATTTAAGGTGTTCTACACTCAACCTCATAAGAAATGGAGGTATTGACGAAGCTGAGGAGATAAAAGTGAATAGATAATTGCATATTTTAAACCTTAACATTTAGTATACCATTCTTTATACGAAAAAATGCAGTGTTTGTTCTGAAAAAGAAGGTACACAGAACTTACTGAGACAACAGTCAGGGCTTTCCTTGAGCGGAGTCTTCAAAGCTGTGAATCCTAAATGTGGGCACTGAGGTGCGAAACCTGCAATCGGTGCGGTTTGACAAAAATTTGAAGTAGCTCGAGATAAATTAGAGGTGAAACCAGACGATTGACTACGTATAGAATAAGGATGTTTCGTAGAACTAGACTGGGGAATGTGACAGGGGATATTAATCGAGTTACTAGGAGCGTTGTAACTGAATACAGTTGGGTCAGTTGCACTTCTTTCAGGTTGTGGTCTAGTTAGATGATATTCTTCTAAGCCGGACGATCGATGATATCTTGAAGTACGATTCACAACGTGAGGTCGGGTATGTGTACGAACAGTAATCGGACCCCCATAAGCAGTAATAGGAAAAATATGTGTAGTCCCATGATTACTGCTAACAGCTACCCATCGAGAATCATGAGAGAAAGTAGCATCCACAATCTAAATGTTTACGAATTATATAAAGAAAGATTTATCAAATGTATCAATTCGAAGTTGCAGTTCAAGTAAGATAAATACAACTAATGCAATAGTAACCAAATATGTGGATATGAGAAAAATTCTAGGATATAAGATGAATTCTTATTCACAACACAGGTCAGTCAGCTACAACATAGAACTTCGTAAATTCGTACATCAGTTGCCAAACCAAATTAGAACAGAGATGCAATTGTCAATTCAAATCCCATAGTGGTAGAGATAGTAGAAGTATTAGTAGTAATGGAGAAGATTAGGGAGCGAAGAGTATAATTCAGTGAAATAAATTTAGAAGGAGAAAGGTAGAGTTTATGAGGAATGCAGAAGGTTAGAATTTCACGGAACAAAAAGAGTGTATGCACCTGCACCATTGCATACGATTCAAGGTCTCTAACCATCAGTGACTTTAGTCTCGCAGACCCCAACCAGGTAGCCTACATCTACCAACATGACTCAGTCCACCTGTCACTGACTTCATGGATTTCTGCCATGTTTTGGTCTGGACGCCCCTAGCTTTCTTCCAACCTATTCCTACACCACAAAACAAAGCTCGTCGAGGCAGTCGGTGGTTAGGCGTTCGTAATACATGTCCCAACCACTTCAACTGATAGACATTCAACATTTCATAAACTGATTTGCCATCCTTACCCATTACCCGTTGCTTGCTCGATAGTCCTAGGATGTACGAGCAATGTTTTGAAGACACCTATAGTCAAATACTAGTGGCATACGAATGAGCCCATTCTTGGTAACCAGAACGAAACGACCTGATACGCAATAAACTCGTCCTTTGGTTAGCAAACGGATATCTCGACTACATTATATGCTGGTAAGAGCTAGTTGAGCATTCTGCATCCGTGCTGAGATTTCGTCAGTCGTCAAGCCACCAGCACTGATGAGACTCCCAATATAAGGAAGCGGTCAACATGCTCAAATGCTTCACTCCCTATCACTAGTTCAGGTGCTGATGCAAGCTAATCCCTAAAATTTTGCAGTTGGAAAGGGCGAATCGCATCCCAAAAATGCTTACAATGTTGCTTAAGGAGTTCCTATGCCATAGACATATTCTAAGTCGACAAGTGCAGTGGTGTTCGAGTAGAGAGCCTGTTAAAGGTTGATGTACTTCTGTGGTATACCTTTCAACGACAGACGCCGCTACTGCACTTCACAACCAACAGAGTCAAATGACGCCTTGAGGTGAGGAAATACCACTATTGTTGGATGCCTGAACGTGTGTTTATGTTTTAGGATCTGTCAAATTGTGAATAATACAGCCACGTCCAGGTCTGAAACCAGACTGGTTTCCTCGAGTCTGCTCTGCACGGGCTCCAATTAAGTGTTGAAGTATTACTGAAGCTAAAATTTTAGACACCATATTAGTTGAACTGATTCCTCTGTGATTGCCATAATAGAACTTTTGCCCTTTGTGATAGGCTGAGAGAATCAGCGATCGAGATTAGTCAGATGGAATTACGGGCAGGTACCAGATTCTACCTAAGATCTCAGTCAGTTTCACTGCTCAAACAGGACGACCATCCTTAAAATCCTAAAAGTTGACCTATCAGAACCTGGCGCTCTCCCTCACCTTATATTGGGTCATCGTTGAGTTGATTTTGGGGGTCACCATGTCAGTAGATGTCTATCCTTATGCTTAAAGTCAGTATTTGCTACAAATAGGTGGTTATCTGAGCACAGCTGCAGTAGACGGTCGCCATTATCTGTTCGATCGGCCGCAACACCATAAGATCCACCCAGGTGTCTTTCCTGTTCACATAGTCTACCTACTTGAGCATTAAAATCACCAGTCCACTATTGCTACATCCGAGTGCCTAACGTTTTGAGGAGGTTGGAAGGCTTCCCATAAAACTTATCCTTTACCTCATCTG